AGGAACGAGCTATCGGACCGTTGCCGTGCCGCGTATTTCTTTGCTTGCCCTGGAAAGGGAACGAATCGAAGGACACGGCCCGTGTGGTGAAATCCCTAGTGGAGAAAACCTACTTTGCCACCAATGTGGTTACCGTGTTCACTACGATCCGTTCGTTCACGATGTTGAAGGATGTCCAACCAACCCTACAATTGAGTCACCTCATTTACTACTTTGAATGCCGACAATGTGGTAGTCGGTATGTTGGTAGGACCCTTCAACATCTGTCCGAACGTATCAAACAACACGTGCCGCTCTCACTATTGTCACAGGCGGCTAGGTCCTCCCGACCAAAGCGTGGCCGACCACGTAAGCACCCGACTCCAGTGTCCGTTCCGGCAGAGGCTTCTGCTCCACAAACGGTGTCTCGGAAAAACCAACACAGCACGCAGAAATCGGTAACAAACATTAATGTAAACAAAGACGAACACTGTGTCTTATCTTCATTATCAGCGAGTACCGGTACGCCGGACGCAGACAACCGCAACTCACCAAAGCTGAGAAGGAGCAAACGGCTGGCAGCTCGGTTTGCAGAGGTGACTGGAAAGATGCAACGAAACTCTCCGGATATGGATGATGCCAGCGGAAGGGTTGACGACTGTGAGGTGTTTGGCAATGGCAAGGGAAGACCGGTCAGGAAGAGAACGCGACGGCAGCTGGAGGAGGAGTGTGGAAGCGACATGTGCAGTGACGATGATGAACCCGGTGGTCAGTTGCTGGGAGAGCTGACGACAGGTGAAGGTGGCAGCGATGATGAAGAGGACGATGACGATGATGACGATGATGGTGCAGATGGTGTGAAGGACGGTGGTGGTCAGAAACCAAGGGAAGGCAGAGGCGGTGAGAAGAAGAAGAATACATCGGCAATTAAATTGCATTTGTTGTCTAACCCCGTGTGTCGTGAAAGTTATGATGATTCTTGGTTTAGTGTTGTTCGTTCTGCAAGTAGTTTCAAGCAGTTGAAAGTTCTAGAAGCAGTCTACATTCGCATTCGTGATCCAAATCTTTGTAAACAAAAAGAAAATGTCACCGCACTTACGCTATTCCAGTAAATTCGCACTCACACACACTTGCACATGCATGTCCATTGTCACACTGCACTTGCTGAATTTCCTATCATTTCTCACCTCACCTATAGTTATTACCTGTGCACATTGTTCCTAGGTTTGTGCTATTTTTCTTACTATGCTTGTATCCTCGCTGTTCCACTCCAAGTGTATAAATCCTATTGTAGTTTCATCATTCTCTTTAGTCACGAATTCCATTGATAATTGTGACAAGAAAACGTTCTGGAATACATGTACATGATTCGTCCCCATGGTTGTGATATGAGTGCGCATTTAGTTATATTCATTGCATTATTAAGATTATTGTCTCCACGTCGCCTTTTTACATTTTTTATTTTAGTATTATTATTTTTTCGGCAGCGCAGATGATGATGATGAATCTATTTTTATTTTTCATCATAGCCTAGGAGCTATGGCACTTTATGATCCACAGCAAGAAGGCAGCCATACCTGTATCTATGGTGAAGTAAAATAAAGTTAACATAACATATGCCAGGCCTCTACAGTCTCTCATTTCTTGGTGCTGGCCGCTTTAGTGCTATACATAATGCTATAATACATACTCATTCTCTTGATGGCACGGTACGGGACAGATACGGGATAGCGCCAGGCGTGACACAAACAAACAAACACGAAACGAGAGAGCTTGGAAGCTCAGGGCCCTACGTTATGCTTTTTTGTTTGCTCATCATGCATAGTAGTAGCAGTAGTAGTATTTTTTTTTTTAATCCCTACAGACGTTGCCGTCTTTTTACAGGCAACCCTAGGTGCTCTTTGCAGAGCGAAATGAAAGCATGTAACCTGGTAACGTGTCAAAGCTGTGTGGACCCTGGCTAGCGCCAAACGATACAGAACTAACGTCTGTTGCATAATAAAAATAAAAACAATTTCACAGTTCGCGTGAGACTCGGCTGGAAGCCGAATTTTCCACATCCGCCGTGGGAACGCCACCACCCTCTAGGATCAAAGGCGCAGATGCAGCGCCTAAACGGTGGGAGGTGAGTAGATCAGACCCACCACCAAGTGGTCAAAGACCGAAATCTCATTAGCTGCATCCATGTTACCCTCGTGCCAGGCCACGAGTTCCCAATTAACTGTGGAGACTCGTGGGTTGTCTGTTGCATAGCTACGGGATTAATATTTTATTTGGTATTTATTTTATATTTTTTAACTTTTTTTGGGTCAAGCCTAGCCTGACGCTATCCCGTATTTGTCCCGTAACGTACCGTACCATCAAAGGCAGCTGGCCACAAACAGCTGGCCGCAGTATTTTTGTTTGTTTGTGCCATCAGCATGCCTGGCGCTATCCCGTACCTGTCTCGTTTCTGACGGTCACGGGCGTTCTGGAGTCGACGGGATGTCTGTCCTGACGTTTCCTGGGGACCGGTGCTGACTCTGCCGATCACGGGCGTTCTGGAGTCGACGGGATGTCTGTCCTGCCGTTTCCTGTGACCGGTGCTGACTCTGCCGATCACGAATGTTCTGGAGTCGACGGGATCTCTCTTCCGACGTTTCCTGTGACCGGCGCTGACTCTGAGGATCACGGGCGTTCTGGAGTCGACGGGATCTCTCTCCCGACGTTTCCTGTGACCGGCGCTGACTCGCCCGTTCAGGATTATTTTGGAGACGACGGGGTCTCTCTTCCAAAGTATGTTTTTGCTGATGCTTCCTGTCACCTATTCGGCAACTAACGTCCATTCTAATAGCATTTACTCGTCTCCCTACTTCGTATTTCTTTCCAGAAAATCTCCCCATACAGCAGGGAGTCGTTTACATAATACGACTCCCTGCTATACATCTATACGTTATAATTATTATGCTATCGGCCTACATGCAATTCCTGGGCTAGTCGAAAGGCGGCCCAGCCAGCCTGCTAGTGGGATCTCGGCCTCGCACACAAATCCACACAAAATGTTACTGCACTGAATGCATTCCCCCGATACACTTCGCATTCTCTTTATGGTACCGTACTCTTGATGGTACGGGACAGGTACGGGATAGCGCCAGGCATGCCGATGGCACAAACAAACAAAAATATTGTGGCCAGCTGTCTTTGCTGGTACGGTACGGTACTGTACGGGACAGATACGGGATAGCGCCAGGCGTGACACAAACAAACACCAAATTAAAGCTGTGTGGACCCTGGCTAGCGCCAGACGTTACTGAAGTAACGTCTTCTGCATAGCTACGGGAATTAAAGCTGTGTGGGCCCTGGCTAGCGCCAGACGTTACTGAAGTTACGTCTTCTGCATAGCTACGGGAACGAGAGAGCTTGGAACACGTTGAAGTGCGTTTCCATTTCGTTCCGTTTAGGCATCGTTTTCGGGCGTTGTCGTGTTGTCACATTCCAGGCCGTACCGCTTATCGAAACAGATCAGATGCGGTAGAACCCTGGATATGAAAGGGCAGCCATACTTCACAGCATACCGGTGCATGCAGAAAATTTTCTCTCAGGATGGTACGCTTGACACGCGGCGCGCTATCTGGACATTCGTAAACAGCCAGTTTGACTGAGGCCTGGTTCGACAGACTTGACGGCAAGGATCTCTGTCTTAGCTCGCTTGACCAGTATCGTGTCTAAACTACGCAACTCTTGAATGCTCAATGCACTGCACTATCGGCCTGCATGCATTCCCCGATAAACTTCGCATACATACTTATTCTCTTGATGGTACGGTACTCTTGATGATACGGGACAAGTACGGGATAGCGCCAGGCATGCCGATAGCACACACAAACAAACAAAGAAAATAAATAAACACCAAATCAAAGCTGTGTGGACCCTGGCTAGCGCCAGACGTTACTGAAGTAACGTCTTCTGCATAGCTACGGGAATAAAATTCATTCTTCATCCAGCGCATGCGGCGATTGTGAATAGAAACTGAATAGAGCGGTTGTCAGTTGACAGGTGCTAAAGACAAAAAGACCAATCTCCTGACCAATATTTTTTGTATTGAGCTACTTGGTCCACGTCATCAATACTGTCGCATATCTTTCTGCAGATGGTTGCTCCAATGAGGAGCACACGCTTCTTGCCGAACTTGACACTTGACTGACTCAAGACTGCCATCCGAAGCACACAAGGAGCACGTCGCACCTTTCGCTCGGCAAACCTGAAAGGAAGCACCACTCCCTGCTCAATACACAGTGTTTCGGGGAATTCACCCCTCATCAGTTGAGCTTGAGTAGGCTGAAGAAGATTGTGCCTGGAAAAATGTTTGACACCAGTACCAAAAGAAGCGACGAGGAGGACCAAAATCATTGCTAGTTGACATTCTATAACTTACCTTCCATCATACCAAGTTTTATCACCTCAAGTGCATGCGTTGTTGTTCAAAGTCTAAGTTCAAATTGTCAAAAGATATGCGACAATATTGCTGACGCGGACCAAGTACCTTGGTGCAATGGGTGACGACCCTGATTCAAGTGGGTCCTCGATGTTCTGTGTGGATGAGATTGTCATGTTGCCGCATATGAGGGCATTTTAGTAGCTTACAAATATATTATTGTAGATCATAATATGAATTTTATATTATCTTAGTACCTGGCTTTAACGAAAACACCGTGACTGAGTTGGATTCTACAGAATGCGCTAGTGCTTGGAGGTTTTCATAAGTTCAATAGAGTTGGAAACTGGATACGTCTGAAGTAAAATAGACTGTCATTACCAGAACTCGGACCAGAGAATATGGCTTAAAACCAGCAATGTTCTATCGCTGATGTAGGGTGTAGTCTGTCTGGAGGTATTGGTATTTTGTCACCATTACTTACTTTATTGACTTCATACACAGATTGCCGGGCTCAGTAAAGTACACCAAGAACGACCCTTAGTGAAATATGCTTGTCCTGTGCTCACTGTTTTTTCATTCTTTTCTGAACATGTACTTTCTCCAGGGCATTACATCATAATTTTCTCATAACCCTACCAGCAAACCTCTTTCGTGACTCTGGATCAATAACAGAACTGTAAGCCAGTAGTCGTATTTTGTCCGTGGCTTTTGACAATCTCTGTGTCAACTATCTGTACATGTATCATACTGACAGTATAATAGATAGTAGATAGTTCAAAGTTCGTGCGTGGCCGCGGTGGAGGTGGCCGCGGCGGTGGAGGCGGACATCACATTACACAGATTACATTGCAGAGATCACATGATGCAGATGACATTACGCAGATCACATTATGGAGATCACATGACACAGATCACTTTACGGAGATCACATGACGGAGATCACATGACACAGGTGACATGACACATATGATGCTATGATAGTTTCCCCCCTACACTCGCTCGTGTTAAGCCTTGGGTTTTTGCATCTTCCTGACCTGTACAGCTTCTTTTTTTCTTCTTCTTTGTTTTTGGTGCGTGTTTTTGGCAGTGACGCCGAGACCTCAGGTCGGCAGAGTCATCAATGCCCCGCCATCACTGCTGCGTCTCGGTACAGCGCCTGCTCATTAGTTGTCACATTTGTGCTAGTCTCCGTACCATTGTCTTTCCTTATTCTTTTCGAGCTGGTTATGTGAACGTAGTAAAAAAACACACACACACAGATCGCATGATAGAAAACACATGGAGATCAGGTGTGTTTGTTGTCTCCTACTTTAACATTCATAAAACTTCGTAAGGTTGTATGTTAGGTGAAGTAGAACGTGCACAGTGCATAGACCAAAGTAATGTTTTTCGTATACTGTAAAACAGCGCAAAGAAGAAGATAGCTAAAGTAAACAGCGAAACTGCGTGACCTATACGCATAGCAATAATGACACAAAGGTGCAAGTGTGAGAAAACTCAATAAGTGTGACATGTAGTGTTGTTTGGGCATCCTGATTGTCGTGCTGTGTATTCAGATGATTGTTTTTTTATTGTGTCACGTGTACGCAGTGCTAGATTGCTGGATGTTTTTGAAGCCATATACATCCACACAAAGAAACCCAACCTAAGCAGAAGCAAATTAAATTCACACTTAGGTTGTTAGGTAGGTCGATAAAACCTCGTTAGTTATATCCAGTGCTTGTCTCTTGTTGTCGCACTACATGTCACGCTTATTGAGGTTTCTCGCACTTGCATCTATATTATTTATTGCTATGTGTATAGGTCACGCATTTTTTGCTGTTTACTTTAGCTATGTAAATAATCGACGCGCACTACACAGTTCTAGCGTTACAATTAGTTTCTCCCCCCCCCCCCCCCCCCCCCGTTGCACTTAGCTCTCACTTCACTTCTATTGTCTCACCTTCCCACATTCTATTTTTGCACTGTATTTTGTTCTCGTAACACATCATTGTTCAGCATGGTTACTCTTCAGTCACGACTTCAACTGATGAATGTGACAAGAAATCTTGATTTCGTTGTAGTGTGGCGATGACAGCAGAATTTGTTTTCCTTATTGCTAATACTTTAGCTATCTTCTTCTTTACGAAATAGAGGTTGCGACTTCGGCGATGATTTTGTTTAGGAATGGGTTTGCTCCCACACTGGAGCTCGCGCTATTCCGCCGATGCCTTGACACTTGACTCAAGTGTCAAGTTGTCGGCGGAATAGCGCAAGCTCCAGTGTCGGAGCAAACCCATTCCTAACCTTCTTCCTTTTGCTGTTTTACCACCTTCTAACTCTATACTGTAAAACATGTAATTTAGGTGTATTAAAATTTCGGTGTCAGGGACCTGCCAGGTTTCAGGTGTAATTTAGAATTAGGTGACCAGCATTCCCTGCACATACAGTGCACATACAGTGCATACTCTGGTGCCTTTTAGGTGTAATCTAAATTTAGGTGCTTGTTTTCTCTACCGAAATCACCGAAAATAAAGTTACACCAAAAGCATTGTGTTTTACAGTATCCTAATGTTTAAAAAAAGAGAAGAAACACATGAGAACGAGTTATGCAGCAAATATCCACGACTGTAACAAGATGATAAACAGTCAGAAAGTGCGATAATAGGGCACAATAATAAGGTACAAAACTGACAGGCTACTGAGACATTCAGCGACACGAGACCTACCTCTGACACATCTCCAGTGCGCGAACCAACAGCCTTCCAACTTGGAAGGTTCGTGGTTACGTAGGACCGAAGAGGGGAATGTGTTTCTTCTCTTTTTTACAATTATTTCTGGCTCAGTATCCGAGTATATCCTCATGCTTTTTTTTCTGCAGTTACATGAGCAACAATAAATTAAAAGCATTCCCAGAAGGATTGTTCACACCACTTAAAAATGTCATATACCTGTAAGTCCTTTGCATTGAAGTAGGGGAAAGGAATGCATCTAATACTGTACTACAAAAAGGCTTCGCACTACTCCAGCTGTCAGCACTGATGCTTTGAATGACGTGGCTGCTGCTGCTGCTGCTGCTCTCTCTCTCTCTCTCTCTCTCTCTCTCTCTCTCTATCTATCTATCTATCTATCTATGATGCTACCCTTACTAGTGAGAGTCCTCACCCTGAAGTTGCTGGACTAGTTACTTTGTATTTCTGTGTTCATACTGAGTGCGCAACTCACTCTGTCCATTGCGTTAATATTAGGAATAATTAATAAACTCGGATGGGGAGCCAAGGTTTAATTTATACAAAAGAGTAAGGACCGAGGTACTACAAGTTACGCTATACTGCCCACTAACACCACCAGTTACTAAACAATCGGCTCATGCGATAACATTGCACGACACTGACCGACGGTACTGATGTTCAACAACTAACTGGCTAACAGCTCTAGCACATCTTGGATGCGCACTCCAACAGCCTTCCGACTTGGAAGGTTCGTGCAATGTTTTCGAATGAGCTGATTGTTTAGTGACTGTTGGTGTCGGTGGACAGTATAGGGTAACTTGTACTTCCCTTTCTCTTTTGTATAAACGAGGGAGCTTGGAAGCTCAGGGCCGTACGCTATGCTTTCTTGCCTAACTCATCATGCATGTCATTAGAACTAATGGAAATGGTTTTTTCCATTGATTGGCTACATCATTGTATTGCAAAAACGTTTCAATCAGTTTGAATATGAGTTAGGCAAAAGTATATTGCATATTTTATTGCGGATTGTTATTTTCTCCCACTTCATCCACTTTTGCTTTGCTCCTTCTTTTCTTTTTTATCTCCTTATAATCGGATTTTCTGGCCTTTTGTAGTAATACATTGAGCTGTTGAGCCAATGAGGTAAAATTATATTTCATACAATATGATACAATACAATAATACAATAATGTCTTGCCTTTTTTGTTTGAAGTTTTATTTTACATCACAAACCAAACGGGCATCGATGCCCAATATTATGATGGCGATAGAATAAAAAGTGTGGTTCGATAAAGCTGCACTTGAGAAAATGAGAAAACAGTCAAGAGTAATAATAGGTTTTTCATTTGACCCGACGAGACCACACGACGCTTGCAGACCACAGCACGAACAGTTCACCAGCCACACTCCACGAAAGCAAGGAGTGTTACTCCTGACAAGTCTTGTTTCGTTCCATAAAGTTGACGGGGAACTCATCAGAGGAGAAGCAGTTGTTGAATGAAGGGGTTAAGCTGAATAATGCTATTTTATAGAGAAGATACCGGCGCAGGGTGTAAACACTCAACTAACTCATATTATGTGACAAATCAACACAAAAGGAATAGTGCAGAATGGAGGTGTTATGAACCCTACCAAACACAACAATCACAAGTGCTAAATCAATCACAATGAGAAGGAGAGGTACACAGGAATAGATTGCGCTAATTTACACGTCACAAAGAGTACTGATTTGTCACATGATATGAGTTAGTTGAGTGTTTACACCCTGCGCCGGTATCTTCTCTATAAAATAGCATTATTCAGCTTAACCCCTTCATTCAACAACTGCTTCTCCTCTGATGAGTTCCCCGTCAACTTTATGGAACGAAACAAGACTTGTCAGGAGTAACACTACTTGCTTTCGTGGAGTGTGGCTGGTGAACTGTTCGTGCTGTGGTCTGCAAGCGTCGTGTCTTCTCTATAAAATAGCATTATTCAGCTTAACCCCTTCATTCAACAACTGCTTCTCCTCTGATGAGTTCCCCGTCAACTTTATGGAACGAAACAAGACTTGTCAGGAGTAACACTACTTGCTTTCGTGGAGTGTGGCTGGTGAACTGTTCGTGCTGTGGTCTGCAAGCGTCGTGTGGTCTCGTCGGGTCAAATGAAAAACCTATTACTACTATTTGATGGACCTAATGAAGATGGCAACAAAGAGTCAAGAGTAAGTATATGTAAATGTACCGGTAATTACAAGTTCGAAAAAATTAACAATCAGAGAGAAATAGGAAGACGAGGACCTATGCCAGAGGGAGGTACTATTCGGCCATATTAACCGTAGAAAAACCCTTTCAGCAATCTTTAAAACGGCCACCTGACAGTGTGCTTGTTCTTAACTGTTGCTGACGGCCAAATTCATCGTTACCTGTGGAGCACATCACATAACTTTAAAGTCTCCTATAATATGCATCCTGTCCGACGGCAAAAGAAGCTGTGGATTTAGTTCTTCTGCACGTTATCAGCAATGACTACTGATCTTCAGCAACTTGGGCCTCCTATAATACACATCCAGTCTATGCTTTGGTAATGCTAACATAATGCTCGGGATAGCACTCGCACAATGTCATCGTACTGTTGTACGACATGCTATACGACATCCTTATACCATACAACACCGTATTGATGTCTGGCTGTCTGGCTGGCTGTCTTCGATGGTATGGTACGGGACAGGTACGGGATAGCGCCAGGCATGCCAATGCTGTCCTTGATGGTGCGGTACAGGAAAGGTACGGGATAGCGCCAGGCATGCCGATGGCCCAAACAAACAAACACGGAATTAAAGCTATGTGGACCCTGGCTAATGCCAGACTTACTGAAGTAACGCCTTCTGCATAGCTACGGGAATAATCTGCAGACAGAACTGTTTCGTCCTTTGAGGACTCATCAGCGCAGCACAGAGGAAATGAGGCCGACCCTGGTAGCAATGAGAAATATATTTTCCAAACCTAGATTTAAACCAGTCCGAATATACTTTGCCAGGGTGATCAAAGTGACAAGTCAGTGAGCTCTGCATAATGCAGACAGCAAAGGCACTACCCCACGTGAGAGTGCTCAATTGCCACAAGAGCAGAAGCAAAATCTGCGGACAGAACTGTTTCGTCCTTTGTGGACTCATCAGGGCAGCACCGAGGAAATGAAGCCGAACCGGGTAGCAATGAATACATACATACCGTACAGCTGCCAACACTAGACACTTACCATTCCCATGACTCACGCGCAATGTATTTGGATTAGAATAACAACCGGCCAAGCCTCCCTTGTGGTAGGGAACATCTACCGTCCCCCACGGTCCGACCCGGCAGAGTTCGTGATGGAACTGGAGAGAGTCATAAAGATAGTTGAAAGACCCCAAGATGAGATAGTTCTCCTTAGCTATTTCAACGCCAAGAACTGCTTGTGGCACTCCAACAACAGCACTGATGCCTCAGGTGAGGACCTTTTTTGGCTGTGCCAGACTCATGGCCTCACACAACACTTCTCCGTTGCCACCCACCTATGCCAACACACACCTACATCGTGCCTGGACCAGGCCATCTCTGGCTTCAGCCACAGTAACATCACCCGCTTAAGTCCGCTTAGTTGTAGAACAAACCTACTATGCAGTGCACTTCACACCCGTCTACACTGCACAATGCGTGCGTTCACGGTGCTGAAGGACGTTCTACCAACCCACCAACTCAGTCATCTTTTATACAACTTTGAATTCCGGCGTTGTGCTAGCCGTTATGTTGGTAGAACTGTTCAGCACCGGAGCGCACGGATTAAACAACACACACCGCTTCACATTCTATCAGAGGAAGCACGCAGAGACCGGCCTAGGCGTGGCAGGCCACGGAAGCACCCACTACCTGTCCTGCCCCAGCCTTCTCCACCAAATCCAGTCAGGTTATCCGGTGCTGGTTTAACAGACTCTTTGGTGCCTGCAGCATCAGCAATAGCAATAGCGGTGACGGTAGTCGATGGTGAAAAGACAGCAAAGCCGACACCAATGTCCATCACTATCATAGATCGTGGCAAACCCAGGAAGGCTATGCCTCCTCAACAAACGCCAGGCATACGCCCCCTGCCGAATCCACCACCTTCTGACCAAACCTTGCCGTCGTCAACATTGGAGCAGACTACAACAACTTCTCAAAGACCAAGACATTCAACAACTTATTACAGTATGAACTATTATACCGGCCAACAATATGTTCATTGTTCCCAAGCGGTCGCTGGTTTCTCCCACAATGTGGGAATACGGCAAAGCGTGTCAGCTGTAGGGGCGCTTGCAGCGTGTGCAGGACGTTGCCGTTCGCCAAGTTCCCCAAATCCCTGCCCGAAAGCGCTGATCCACATCTAGCTAAACGGCAAAGAAAATTAATCAAATCGTGGAAAGATGCTGTTCAAAAACAAAATTTAATGGTGGCTGCAACAAACGATGTGCGTGTATGTGGAGCACATTTCCCAGCCCTGCAACGCGAGAATGACGATGAAGTTCCCTCTGTATTTGCTTGGACCATCCCAGCGGTGGACCGTTAAACACTGACCTCCAAGAAAGCGAGTGAGGCCGAGGAAGAAAGTATGACGGTGGATGAGGAAGAAGTGGCCAGCACCGAGGATACTGGAGAGGTGGACGTTGTCGAAGAGAATCAGCGGCTGAGGGATGAGATCTTGGACCTGAAATCACAGCTAGAGCTATTGAAAGACCAAAACACGATCCTCGAAGCTCAGCTTGAAAGGCAGCGTTTTACGGCACGGCAGTTCACATCGAACAAAAACATTCGCTGGTATACTGGGTTCAGAACATTCGGACAGTTTGAGGAGATGTTCAAACTTGTTTTGTCCACCCGTTCTGCCACCCAAGCAAGAGGTACTGCACCAATCCTTCCACTGGAAGACTGCTTTTTATTGCAATGGTGAAGGTGTGGAAGGATTATCCGAAAGAGGAGCTGGCACGGCTAACTGGTGTCTCCCAACCAACAATATCCAGGATTATCCGCCATTGGATTCCGTTGGCTGCCAATGCACTTCGCCAAATCCCGATCTTGCCGAGCAGATCCCAAGTGGATGAGCTAATGTCACTGTCGTTCCGTGAAATGTATCCACGGACACGGATTATCATCGATGCGTTGGAGATTCCGATAGAAAAGCCAAAGAGCCCCACTACTCAAGCTGCCACATGGTCGGAATACAAGCAACGTAACACTGTTAAAGCGCATGCAGGAACAACACCTGGTGGTGCTCTGTCGTTTGTGTCGCAGCTGGATGGCGGACGAACGTCTGACAAGGAGTTGGTAAGGAGATGCGAACTACTGAAGCTGCTGGACAAAGGCGATGTGATTATGGCCCACAAAGGGTTTGACATTGCGTCCGACGCACTTGTAAGTCTAAAAACAACGCGAATGACCCGCAGCTCACGTCGAAATCACATCAACAAAGGACATAGCAGCAGAGACAGAATACTTTCTCGTTCTCAGGAAAATAAATTCAACAGCCACGGCCACATGGAGATCTATTCCCCACATTTTGTATTTTTAAGACACAGAGGGAGCCATAGTGGAACAAAGTGAAGTGTACGGAGATGGAGAGAGAGAGAGATGGAGAGAGAGAGAGAGAGAGAGAGAGAGAGAGAGAGAGAGAGAGAGAGAGAGAGAGAGACACACACACCTCAGACCTCAGACCTCAGACATGCCCATCGCGGAAGCGATGATAGCGAACAGCTATGTTAGACATAGCAACTTGTGCTGGGATTACACCATTCAACAGCTTGCAAGGCTGATGAATTGACCGCCACTATTTTTAGCCTGGTATCCACCACACAGCTGTTTGAAGTGACTTTTTCTGGCCAGTGAATCCCTATTTTTCATTTCAATTTTTTTCCATTTTTTTACACACACACCACACCACATACTCCGGCATACACTGGCTGTTGGTAACCACCCAGGAGAATGAAAGAAAAGTCAGGAAGAGTCCAAGAAAGAGAAGAAAGACGTGTGCGACCATAATCGTCGGGAATTGAACCCGCAACCTCTCGATTGGAAATCGACTGCACATACCACTGCACCATATGGGACACACAGACACACACACACACACACACACACACACACACACACACACACACACACACACACACACACACACACACACACACACACAGACAGAGGCAGAGAGAGACAGAGACACATACACACACAGTTCCACGGCAACATCGATGAACGACGTAAGTTTCTCTTTTCCATGGCGAATGGGTAGATTGGTAATTATGTTCATGTACCTCCCACCTCTTCATAACCTTCTCTTCCTTACCTGTCACTAGCGATCAAACTCCGATGTCCCGGATGTTCAGCAGCGCAATGTTTGTCAGGAAGCAGAGCAGCACAATATCAGCAGTTGTCTTATCTCTAATCTCCATCTACAGATACAGACGAAATCTAGACTCCTTGTCGGGACACCGTCCGCATTCAGACGCAGCTTGCCAACTGAGCACAACCGTATCGAGCTTATCTCTTTTGATCTGCTCACTCTCACCGCTTGCACGCAAAGTGCATGCATACACACGCACACATCACAAATCCAAAGGTGACGGCAACACTGGACGTGACCGCAAACGATGAGGGCGACGACGGAAATGGTACTTACGGAGGAGATTCTAGCAGTTGAGTGAGGGAGAGTGCGTCGGTATAGGAGATTGTGGGAGTGAGTGTGGGTGGGTGTTTCGACCTCGTAAGTCTTCTGTGTATAATCACTTGGTATCTCGTCCTGAATGTTGCCAATTGTATTCTAATTCATGTTTCTCCGTTTTGTGTCGTGGATGTCATGGCTGTCAGTTACAGATGAAAATGTTGGAGGCTGTTTTTTATTATCACATTGCACATACCTACGGAAGAAGGGAAAGCAGAACAAAGACAAAACAAGAAACAACAATGGGGTGTATGCGCTGCATGAGCTGCTCCGGTTAGATGCGGTGGACTCCCCCCGACCAAGGGTCTCGGGATCGGTGTACACAGCAATCAACATGGGGATGGGGGCGAGGAGAGGAATGACAGAGAGAGAGAGAGAGAGAGAGAGAGACGGAGGGAGGGAGGGAGAGACGGAGGGAGCTATCCCGTACCTGTCCCGTACCGTACCATCAAAGACAGCTGGCCACAATGGTCAAATAGGGCTTTCAAATGCAAGACCATAACGCGAAGCAACCTGGAAGAATGAGTATGTATGCAAAGTGTATCGGGGGAATGCATGCAGGGCGATAGTGCGGGTTCGAATCCTAGGTTTTGTCTTAACCCTTAGGTGCCGGTACATCGATTTCGTCCTATGCTGACAGTGCATACTAAAATCGAGCACAGAGCCGGTCACGTACATCGCAGGTGTCTGATATTTTGTACAGAGACGCTTCAGTAGCTGGCCTGTAGATAGCAGTAGAGAAAGTAGGGGGGTTGCATTTGACAAAGTCGAGTCGTGATCAACGTGATCGCGCTGATCAGCGGAAGTCAATCGAGCATGGCAGCCTACGCACGGGTCGCACAACACGAACAAAAAAAAATAGAAATGAAAAATTTATAACATCCCTATGCTTTTTTTGCCTATGTCATCAAGGTGGTAGACGGTGTCGTATTACCCTCGATCGCGAAGAGAAAGTTGCCTCTTGCTAGGCAAAAAAGCATAGCGTAGGGCCCTGAGCTTCCAAGCTCTCTCATTTATTGTTGTATCCGCGGCGTTTATTGAAATAATATTAAGCATGTGTTTAGACAAGTGTACTGGCTCCTGTTTCTCTTTCTGTGTTCTATTTTGCAGAATACTGGATGCTAATAACCTGACGACCGTGCCAGCTTCAATGTTTACATCGAGCAGACAATTAACATACCTGTAAGAATATTTAAGGAGATTGAGATGACATTGCAACGAAAGCAGCAGTATGATTAGTGACTGAAACAACACCAGCAGTACCAGCAAAGGATTTTCATGTGGACATTGCAAGGTGTAATAGGTGTATTCATACTAAGACCGTACTATAATCACTATTCGTATTTCCCGCTCCTTCACCATAGCAACGAGAGCCTATCAAGTATAGAAGAGCGCATGCTCCAGTGGTTCTCTAGTGTTCTGCTCTCCTTCTCACTCTTGGCTACTCTCTTGTGTAAATACTTCGTCCATATAATCATCAGTGGGGAAAAATACGGAACTAAAGGATATGCAGTGTACGCAGTGCTAGATTGCTGAATGTTTTGGAAGCTGTATACATCCACACAAAGAAACCCAACCTTTGCAACCAGAAACTAAAGGATACCAACGAATTAAACTGAAGTTAAGTAGGAGAAAGGTTAAAAAATCGGCGTGGAGACAAGAAACCTAATATTGACGAAAGTTAAATGAGCGCACTCATACTACGATAGCAATTGAACAATATAATTATGTTAAAATTATTATGTCGACTAACTTGCCTCTGTGTATTGGTTCATCGAATGCTCTTGGGTTGTGTTCCTGAACATATAAAGCCTTATAACTGGTTTGTTTCGGGCCGCTCAACCAGAAAAAAGTGTCTCTTCCCAAGGCCAAGTCAACGCAATTCACAAGATCGCCATTCTTCAACTTCCCGACTCAGTGAAGACTTCTGCATCATTGAAAGAATTTTAAGTGAATCTGAGGGCCTGCTGATGACTGAGTGCACCATAATAATAATAATAATAATAAACTAATCAATATAGCTTTCCGGCTGTTTCCTTTTCATGTACATAATCTTCCCCTTCTTTAACCACGGTTGGCTATCACTCACATCTTCCCGTTTTGGCTGCCATCGGAAGCTATAAGATGTTGAATAAATAAATAAATAAATGTAATCATGCCTCCAATAGTGCTAGCTTTAGAATACCAGTGTCTCTTGCATCAGTTTTAGATCTAATAATGTTCACCTTATGGGACCATAAATATCTTTCCTTTGTTGTCCAACTATCATTGTGATGAAAATTTCTAATGTTAGCATCCCCCCACCTCACAACAGAGCAACCGAGTTTTGCATTAAGCTGGGAGTGCCGATTCGAGCAACTGGTATAATGGCTCGCAGCTGAGCCAGCAAATGACTCCGCTTGGAGCAGGCGAATGACTCCGCATGGAGCCGGCAAATGACTCCGCATGGAGCCGGCAAATGACTCCGCATGGAGCCGGCGAATGACTCCGCATGGAGCCGGCGAATGACTCTGCATGGAGCCAGCGAATGACTCCGCATGGAGCCGCCGAATTACTCCGCATGGAGCTGCCAATTACTCCGCATGGAGCCGCCGAATGACTCCGCATGGAGCCGCCAATGCCTCCGCATGGAGCCGGCAGTGACTCTGAATAGAGCCGCCAAATGCTAGATATATAGAGATGCATAACCAGTTGAGAGCCTATATTCTCATGGACTATACAGATACCGTCATGTGTGCGCCAGAAACATGAGTTGAGCTAGTGGGTGGGAGGGTTGGAAGGAAATTGTTTTGGGAACACCTGTTCCGCAAGTTGCACGCTCGAAAGTCCAAACAGCAATGACATGAAAGAGACATTGTACAGGATTTTGAAGGGCACATGCCCACGTGACTCGCGCATGCGTGCAGGTTGGGCCAGCTCGCTGGGCTGGCTGCTAACTCGCGTTAGCATGCTAACGCTCATTTAGCATCCCCCCACCTCACAACAGAGCAACCGAGTTTTGCATTAAGCTGGGAGTGCCGATTCGAGCAACTGGTATAATGGCTCACAGCTGAGCCAGCAAATGACTCCGCTTGGAGCAGGCGAATAACTCCGCATGGAGCCGGCAAATGACTCCGCATGGAGCCGGCAAATGACTCCGCATGGAGCCGGCGAATGCTCCGCATGGAGCCGGCGAATGACTCCGCATGGAGCCAGCGAATGACTCTGCATGGAGCCGCCGAATTACTCCGCATGGAGCTGCCAATTACTCTGCATGGAGCCGCCGAATGACTCCGCATGGAGCCGCCAATGCCTCCACATGGAGCCGGCAATGACTCTGAATAGAGCCGCCAAATGCTAGATATATAGAGATGCATAACCAGTTGAGAGACAACATACCTCCGGAGCATAGGATCAGGATGTGAGTCCAGTAATTTTGAGAAGTGAGAAACTGAGTGCTTACACAGTTAATGATGAGGCCTTACACTTTGCCCTATGGTGCTCCTGTCGGCACTGGAGGTAGCACTGCCTGAGCTGACACATGCAAGCGCCGTACTCGTAGTAGCGGCATACGGTTGCGGTACGTGATGCGGATCTGTACTGGTGAGTAGGACGAAATGCGCACGGAAATGCTGGCGGGTGCACTGAGCTGCACTGCTGGCAGGCGGGTCGTGCTGTTCCTTACACCACGAGGCTCAGTTGCCACAAGTTGATATTGATAACCTGGCTTTGGAGATTTATTTTTTTCCATTGCTATCAGGTTTGGCTTAATTCCCTCTGTGCTGCGCTGATGAGTCCAAAAAGGACGAAACAGTTGTCCGCAGATTGAGTATTGATAACGTCCAGTTTCTAGGTGGCAAGAACTGGCGATTGGCCGCGACGATCGTGGCCAAATGCGTCCACAGGCACTCGTGAAACGCGGTGAGGAACAGTGGAACAGAGACCATTCATGAACACTGTCCAGGTCTCAACTCAAGTGCTACCGTCATGCAGCCTACGAAGCGCAGTTCTGGGTTCGGATTCAAATAAATGCTAGTGCGCCAGAAGAGCAACATATGAGGGGCTACGGAGTTGGAACGTCGCCGGAGCTGGACTGACTGCAACTGTCTCGGGCAGCAGGAAATCGAAGTCCACGAACTCGCCTCTCTGGACACGATCGAGAAGGGCCCGTATAGGACAGTCAGGTTCACCTGCTGTTGGTGCTGCATGCGTATATGGCGGTCGTCACTGCACCGGGCTCCCAGTAGGGTCCGGCCTGCTGGCGGCGAGCGGCGATACGGATCCAAGTAGAGCGAGGAGAAGCTGGGTGGCGTTGGTGACGGCAGTGGACAACTACCGTTGTTACTTCCAACAGAAAATCAAAGTCCACGAACTCGCTTCTCTGGATACGAATTACGATCGTCAGGCTCGCGCCTGCTGTTGCAGTGGTGGTGCTGCATGGCGGCCGTCGCTGCGTTCGCAGTAGGCGGGCGGCGGAGCCAGGTAGAGCGAGGCGATCCGGAGAGGCTGGACGCCGGCTGGTGACGACGACATTGTTTCAAGGCACAAACAAGGGTCGCTGAGATCACGTGGAGGTACTTCATTTCAGGAAACCTGATGATGGCGCAAGCTAAAAGTCCACAGTGGACGTTCCACTGTAGACGACGACATTGTTTCAGGCACCAACAGGCGTCATTGAAGTCTGAATTTGAAACGTAGAGATACGAGAATGCAAGCTTGAAAGTCTAACGAAAGGAAATTGAAGGAAATTGTTTTGGGAACACCTGTTCCGCAAGTTGCACGCTCGAAAGTCCAAACAGCAATGACATGAAAGAGACATTGTACAGGATTTTGAAGGGCGCGTGCCCACGTGACTCGCGCATGCGTGCAGGTTGGGCCAGCTCGCTGGGCTGGCTGCTAACTCGCGTTAGCATGCTAACGCTCATATAATCACAAGAAATCGACGGTCAAATTTTAACATATGAGCCCGGATCAGCAAAAACCATCGCTTGCGTTTGATATCAAATTGATCAAAAAGTGACTTTGAAGTCGAGCGAAAGAAAAGTCGTGGACCTAATAACTTCCCACCACCTTCCTGTCTTTCTTGCCACTCAGCCTTTTTTTCCACCTGACAATCCTGTGTTTGTTTATTTGTCAGTGACTAGCTAGCTAGGCAAGCCCCAGGCAAGTGAGGAGACACGGCTGGGAAACCCCACGTACCTGCGCTTGGCTGGTGAATACGTAGATTCTACGATCGCGGGGCGCAAGCATCGCACGCGCATCGATCGTCGTTGACGCCAATCACGTCACGACATTTTTTGTTGATGACTGGGATGGTGATTGCTCATCAAGGGAGTCAGGTGAAAGATACGGAGCTCCGGAGGATGACGCTCTCCTGCCGCAAAGCAACTCAGCAAGGCTGCAGACTTTGTGTAGAAGAAAGCAGCTCTGCTGAGACTGACGACGAAGTCGATATTGCGGAGGGATGAACGACTCATTCACTAGTACGTTAGTCGGATATCGACAGTGACGTTGCAGAGCAAATGCGTCTCGATCCGCGACTGGAAGAGCAACGAGTGCTAGTGCAAGATAAGATCTGCTTCGTTGGCTTGGACACTGAGCGACTTGAAATATTTATTTGGTCCATGCAGCAGCTCTCAAAAATATTCAAAAATATGTTCCTGTTTAGTCAGGTATCTGCATGTGTACCTAGTACGTACCTCATGAATCTCTGTGCTAAGTATTCATAGCCTCCGTGTGTGCACATATGTTTTCCTGGAAGTGAGGGGGCTTGGAGAGCATCTGTACAGAGCCTGGTGTGGATGCAAGCGAAAGAAATATCAGTCCCTGGAACTTGTCCATATGCCGTTGGATCAGTTGTATAGTCAGTGAAGCAAATGGATTACTTGGACAAGCAAGTGTCTGAGTACACCCCTAATTAAGGACTATAAAAATTCCTCCTTGCTAGCCAGCTGAGTGATGGTATGGCCTAACAGGATCAGACACATACCCACTCTCATACCTGTATCTTACACAGAAATGCCACTTCCAACATTAGTACAGATATGTAGTGTACCACATTTTTACACACTTAGGGTGCTGTGATTGATTCAAAAATTTCTTGAGACTGGTTATCAGTAGTTGTGGATCAATTTGGAAGAAAAAATATTTTTAGAAATTCGTGCACATGTGATGGCTTTAGCTGATTCAGGCTCATTATTATTATTGTTCAATTGTAATCGTGGTATGAGTGCACTCATTTTACTTTCATCAATAATAGAAAGGTGTTAGAAATGCCACATAAGAATCATGATACAAGTGCAATAAAACCACTAGAGGAAACACAAAAAAGGTAGCAAGATCTAGTGGTTTTATTGCACTTGTGTCATGATTTTTAGCCAGTCTCCAGCTGCTGTGACACTCTGTTGTAGGTTTCGGGTGCAGTCTTGAAGAGTTCCTGCTATGGAAATCAGAGCGGCATCGTCTGCAAATTGGCTACAGGGGGTGCGGGGATTCTCACATGTGTGCGGAAGGTCCATGGCGTAGACGAGGAATAGAAGCGGCCCAAGAACAGATCCCTGAGGGACACCGGCAGGGGTCCCGAGGAAAGGCGATAGGTCGCCACCCACCTGGACCCTCTGCCGTCGCGCCAACTGTACTGTCGGAACCACTCCAGGGCGTTGCCCTGAACACCATAGTGGGGGAGTTTTGCTAGAAGACCTGCATGCCACACACGACCGAAGGCCTTGCTGAGATCGACGTGTTTCCCATTGTCTCTCGCAGTGGAGAGGGCGTGGACAAGAAGAGCAAGCTGCCGTTCACTGCCATCTTTCTCATGGAAACCGGATTGCTGGTTGGGTAGGTCGGGTGTTATGTACTTGTAGAGGAGCCGATGTACAAATTTTTCCTGGATTTTTGATGTAGTGCTCAAGAGAGAGATGGGTCTATAGTTTGTTGGTTGTGTCGGGTCTCCAGGCTTGGGCATTGCAGTAATGGTGGCAGTTATCGCGCTTAGAGAGGTCGCCCTTCTTGGGCACCGGCACGAGAGTAGCATCAACCTATTCCTGCGATACGCTACCAGTACGCCACACATCCTGGATCCCGGATCAGGCTCACTAGTCTCAGATTGAGGTTTTCACCGCCAGCTTTCAGCATTTCTGGCGATATACCAGAAGCCCCAGCCGCCTTCCCGTTCCGCAGTCGTGTCACAGCGTAGCTGACCTCACGCGTATCAGGAAGCCCATCAAATCCTCAGCAATAGGAAGTTCCGGAACAGACTCAAGAGTGTTTGGCGTCTATGTGCTCTGCATGTTGAAAACACCAGTTGAGAGGTGCCCTCTCCAGCGTTGGCCCTGCTCCTCAGGAGAGTTGCAGATGTTCCCATTTGCATCAAATATGGCGAAGGTCCACACTGGCCGCAGCCCCTGGTCCACCGCCTTGAAGTCATGTATGCATTTCCATACTATGGCGCCATTGAAACAAGACTCAGTTGCTTCTTGGGCCTTGGCCTGAATCCACATAACCCCAGCCGAGTCTGCAGCGGTACGTGCCCTTGTCTTGGCCGCCTAAAAACCGGCAATGGGACGGAGTATCGCCCTGCTGACCATGGTACACCCAGGAATTGTAAGCAGCATCACGGTCATTCAGAATAGGCTGTAGCGTAGGTATTGCCTCGCGAAACCAGTCCGGTTGATAACGTTTCGCATGGCAGAGCGTAGCAGATGCTGCAGAGCACTTGCTGTCCACGGCTGCGTCCTCTAGCCATGTTCATTCCAGTTCCTCAACAATAGTTGCCGGGTACATCTCAGCAGGTGTGTGCTCTTGCGCCTCTGCATGGGTAGGCCGCACCCTTAATTGTGCTCTCTGAACTCTTCGGGGACAGTGTTGCATATTTGTCCGTATTTTACGGAAAAACGAAGTTTTGTCTGCAGTACGGATTTCAATCGAATATCCCGCAAACGATCATGTATATGATCGATTACTAAAACCATCGTAACTCCATCGTTTCTTGTGCTAATGTAGCGGGCCGCAGTCTCTCTTGGAGGCAAATGCACACGGGTCTCAGTGAACACACTGTAACTGGCAATTGAAATGTAACTATAACTGACAATGAAATTAACTGGCAATGAAATTAACTGGCTACTTAATTAACTGACTCAAAAGAATCGTGAGCAGCAGCTGTTATACAAAGGCAGACTCCGTACGCTAATGTACGGGGATACGCTAACGTATGGGGAAACTGTACGGGGATATGCTAATGTACGGGAATACAGTAACGTACGGGGATACGCTACCGTACGGGATATGCTATACGCTACACTAATTCAAAAATCGAAGGGTAGCAAAAACTCCAAGCTGTCCAGTGCAACAATCGCTGAAGCGTTACGGTGTCGAACTCCAGAGATATCACGCGCCGTATTCAGGTATTCTTGCCTTGGCAAAATCAATTTTTTGATCGAACTCTTCGCCATTTTGGTGGGAAATCCTTTTTTGTGTGCTCTTTGAGTGACTGAGCACTTTATAATGCTGTAGTTGGGTGAAGTTTGAATCGCCTCGAAAAATTTGGAGCGTTCTGCGATGAAGGAGAGTGGAATGGTGTTGATGGGACGATTTGCTTGCATATTAGGCTTGGAGACGACTTTGCTGTGTTACCGCGCCTGATTTGTGGCGGCTTCATAATGGAGCTTGGCGTCTTCGCGTTGCTCCTGCCTAGAGCTTTCCAACGAGCCCTAGATCAAGTTGTGAAAATCAAGCGAAGTAGACCAAAGTTATGACCTGGTGAAGTTGAAAATTGTACTGATATAATTATGATCTGAATTTGTGCGTAGGCTTCACAAGTGAACTACATCAGTAAAAAATGTTGACCTGAAAAACGAGTACGGAAAACTCTGAAAATGTCTGCTAAATGGCACTGGGCAATACGCATGGGGGTAGAGGGCACTTGGTAACACCAAGAGTACATGAAAACCAGAGTGTGCAGCTCCGATGGGTTGCTGTCACAGCAGAACTCCGTGATTACATCATTTTAGTGATGTAGTGCGTACAAGGAGGATTCCAGCAGGTCTCTTGTATGCACTACGCCATTTCCGGCTTCCTGAGATCTACGCCAAATATGATGTAATCACGGAATTCCGCCGTGGCAGACACCCATAGCAGAAAAGACCCCAGGCTGCGCACTCTGGTTTTCATGTACTCTTGGTAACACTGCAAGCCATGGCTGCCCATACCACACATCTCCACACAGTCTAGAGCCCATGACTCGCGCATTTAAAAAAATCTCCGCGTACTTTACAATGGTGCGTTAGTGGTGCATTACAGAAAACACCCTGCAGTTTGATAAATAAGTGTTCTTTGCTCGCACGACTATCTCCAAATGTAGGAGCATAGGAGCAAACCAGGGTAAACCATTCTGCAGATCCATCAGCTAGTTAAAATTTCAAGCGGCATGAGACGACAAACAAACTTTTCTGGCATCCAACTGCTTCCTCCACTTTTCCAGGCATCAGCTGCTTCACGATCCAACACAATTGCAACTCCCTCACCACGGCCAGCATTCAGCCTCAGGTGGCGGACGTCCAGCGCTGAGCACCCTGAATACATCCATGACTTAGCTGTTGCAGCTACTGCCAAGAGTGCCAAGAGTCATTTGTCTCAATGCACTCTAACCGAGTCTCAGTTTGCGGATGACGCCGCGTTGTGCGCGCACACACACGCACACGCACACACGCACACACGCACACACGCACACACAGACTTACCGGTAGGTTTTGACATGGTCATGGGCTAGATGACAGTAATGTCCTGGAAGAGAATAATAGTAAAACCGCGAGCGACCGCCCCGACGACGGTGCGAGCAAAAGTGGTCTTTAAAGCTAGGTGGTCTTTAGAACCAGATCCCATACATTCGCGGCATATTGGATCGTGTGCATACATTCACATGTATTTTTTAAATGTACTCATATAGACACGTAGCTCAACATCATCAAATCATTATCCACTTACTTTAGTCTAGCCGGCACGAGCGAACCTGTGGGTGCACCTAATGGCATCCACCGACTTGAACGCGACAGTGCTTTTAAATAATAATACTAATAATATAGACAGGTGTGGAGCATAGAAACACTTTTGCGCAGGCAAAACACCCATGATGTTCACTGAAGACAAAGACTGCTTTTCAAACCCCAGTAACACGGGCATGCACCAACACCACGTACAGGCAACGTGCACAAAATCACGCACAACCTAGCATAAATTCGCATACTTCAGTTATCTACGTGCCTACATTGTATGTTCATGCAGTCATTTGCAAAATAATCGAATCAAGACCTTACCAAGCGTACCGTTTTCAAGTCATCTTAAAACATTGTAAGTTGTATGTTGGTCATAGAGGGTGTGACATATTAAATTCCGTTAATTTTTTTATTTATATACAGTCTACACTTTATTTCAAATAAAGGGGGGGGGGGGGTTGTCAACTGACAACGGCTCTATTCTTTTCACCTCATTTCACGTATATCAATAAATTGTTTGTTAGAGTCAGTTTCTTGTTTCATTTCACGTGTTTAAAAAAGGCAACAGAAGGAAGTGAGGGTGAATTCAACCACAGACCGAGAGCAAATATGCGAAGAAAGAAAGAAAGAAAGGAAAGAAGAAGAAGAAAAATACGTATCAATACAGCCTGGAGTGTTAAAGAGCATTACTTTGGCAGAGCCTCCTTGAAATGGATGACCGCAATTGGTCCATATCTTGTAGTCTTTTGGACGCTGAGTCGACTGGTTTTGTGCTGAAAAGGCTGCGATGCAGCGTTCCTCCTTTATTCCCAATTGAACATGGTTGAACAAGCGGTCACGTGCTCCGGGGTGCCCAAATCACCTGGTCACCACGCCAGCAGGCGACAACTTTCACACCAAGGTTCAACTCGAGCTCAACTCGAGTGACAAGACTGCACCCGAAAAAGGTCAAACTGGCTAGTGAGGCTGCGTTTAACCGACAACGCACGGCCAGTTTTCCGTTTTCAGTCCCGCATTTCTTTTTTCGTTTTCGTCCGTTTACACGATCAAAGCCGATCCGAGGTGGTCTCTGTTTGTATCGTTTTCAAGCGTCTACACGAGAGCAAAGGATCCGCCAAAGTTCGTCATGTGCCAAGTGTTGCCGTGGAAGCACCAATCACACTCAAGTATAATGGCACACGACAACACACGTCATATGACGAAACTTGTAAAAACAATTTTTTTTGATTGTCGGATCCGTGTAAATGGCTGAAAACGAAACAAACGTGACCGAAAACGAGGCCAGCACACCGTTTCCACTGTTTACACACCCAAATTTATCCGGCAGAACATTTCCGTTTTCAAATTTTTCCACCTTGGCCAGCGTTTTGGTTTTCTTCCGTTTTGGTGTACAACTTTTACGTTTTGCTCCGCGTACCGTGTAAATGAACCATGGATCCGAAAGGATTTCGTTGCGTTTTCGCCCCCAGCGTTGTCGTGTAAACGCAGCCTAAGTTGTACCCTGCAGGCACGGTGATCAGATGACTGGCGTACGCAGGAGCACGTGACCGCGTGTTCAACCTTGTTCGATTGGGAATAAAGGAGGAACGCTGCATCGCAGCCTTTTCGGACCAAAACCAATCGACTCAGCGTCCAAAAGACTACAACATATGGACCAATCACGGTCATCCGCGCTTTTATAAGAACGACATGGCGCTTTTAGTGACATTTTGCATACAAATCCCCATCTAGTAGGGCGCAGTCACCCAGTTTCGGTGGAAGTGCGCGAGTTCGAATGGGATTAACGTAGGAAGGGAGCGTCTCAGCTTCCTCGGACCACGACCATTCGACTCGGCACCCCGAAGACTACAACTGGTGAAATTTTGATTTTTGCCTTAACTTCCCCTTTAAGCACAAGCACACTATCAAGGCAAGGACATTATTGTATTATTGTATTGTATCGTATTGCATGGAATATAATTTTACCTCTTTGGCGCATCTACAAAAAGGCCAGAAAATCCAAGTACATAATTCGTTAGTACATAAACCCCGTTAGTACAGTCGTCCCTCTCTAATCCGGCACTTTATAATCCAGCACCCTCGATAAACCAGCACAATTTTCAGTAGCCAAAATGTCCTCTTCATGCACATTGCAGCAGTAAATCAGATTTGTTAATCCAGCACCCTCCCTAATCCAGCAGATTTTCGTGGCACAAATGGTGCCGGATTATAGAGGGACCACTGTACATAACATTTCTCCGTACCCGCATGCCACCTACCTCAATAATACATAATTTGTTGGTCTTTCGGCCTTCCAGTGGAGGCACATTGTGTTCTAGTTTCTACTTGTGGACGCAATTAGCTCAGAAATCAGAGCGCACATCACAAGCCGAGAAAGCTCTGTTTTTCTTTCGAGTGACTGTCCAGGCGCGGCTGGGCATGTTATCATGTAAACTGTACAATCTTCGCTGAGTGTGATCGTGACCGTTATAACAAAATTTTATGTTATATCGAGGGAATCAAGAATATCTCGCTCCCTAGTCATGGTAGCAAGAAACAATCAGAAAAGTTGAAAAAAGTGAAAAATTCTGGTACACAAGCAAGTTATGTACACTTTCGTTTAGTACATAAACCCCGTTAATACATAACATTTGTCAAGTCCCAGAGATTATGTATTAACAAGGGACGACCTATATAAGGAGATAAAATGGAAAAGAAGGAGAAAAAAATTAAAATTTCACACAAAACCTCACAATACAGTCGTCCCTCTCTAATCCGGCACTTGTTTATCCAGCACCCTTGCAAACCAGCACACTTTCTGGCAAAACGGATTTTTTAAGTTCATTTTCTACACTTTAATCCGGCACTTGAATTCCGCCTCCAGCCGCGATTTTCTGCAACAAATCACTCAAACTGTACAAAATTTGATTTTCTTATCCAGCAGTTGCACATCGCATACCGTCAGGGAGCATTGTAACAGACACAACACATGTAACATACACTTGGGAATATCCTATGCCAGTGCACAGGATATTCCGAAGTGTATGTTAAAGACATGCATTCCACAAAGTACTTGGATTGACCCAGAAAATCCCTACGTTTTGACGTACAACACCAACATGGATGTTAACAGGTGGGCCGGGTTGAAGGGCAGGATTTGATAATTCAGCACCCTTGTTTATCCAGCAGAAAATGCCGTTGCAAAAGGTGCCGGATTAGAGAGGGACGACTGTAATGACACACAGGATGAAAAGCGAGAAGAGCTTTTCCCCTCGTCATCCTCTTTCCCATGCATTCATATTGGTACAGTACAAGTACAAGTGTCAGACTGAACAAGTGTTGAAAGCAGTATTTGATTGTCAAATGTTGTGATTATTGTGAGGTTTTGTGTGACATTTTAATTTTCGGCAATCACATTTCGTTAATTTCTTACTTTTTAGACGGAGTCCAAGACAGTTTGGAATGCAATTTTAGAAATTTTCTATAGGGGAAGGACCCAGGACTAGAAGACAATAATTCTTTTTCGAAAGCTGCCATAAATCAGTTTTTATTGCTATAATTTCTTTTCAACTCGGATGGAGAGGCAAGGATTGAATTTAAAAAAAAGAGGACCACAAGTTTACAATTTGAAACTCGGGTATTGAGCCAATAATAAAAGTAGAAAGGAAAAAGACATATGTCTGACTGTATTATAGTATCTAGTTACAGTGATGGAGAGTTACTCTTAACTCGTTTCCATATGTCCGTTTCCTTTCTATAAGTTTACAAGTTATCCATTTTGTCCAACACTAACGGTTATAAGCAGAATACTGTTGAGTCAAAAACAATTAGCACAAAAACTGACTGATGAGATCCGCACTCCCCCTCCCCCCCCCCCCCCCTCATGGATCTAAGCATCAGGTCGTTGAATGTCAGCTGCAATATTATTATGGAGTTGGCTTTATTTCACTCACGTTGTCATGACATGAGGTAAGAACCCATCACCGGGCCAAAAGAGACCAAGGGTAATGAGAGAAAAAAATAGCTAAATGGCCAACGCAATGAAGACCGAAGCAAAAAGGATTGAAAGCCGAGGGAGAAACTGAGAGACGAACAGAAATAAGCAGAACGATGGAGGAGGCCAGGACATACTCGAATACAAAAAGATGGAGGAGGACAGGACATATTTGAATACAAAAAGAGTAATCACAAAAATGGACTACCAGGAATAGACCTGTAGAAATAGAGGAAGAGATGAATGCAGGACATACTCAAATGACAAGAGAAAAATCAGGTTGTGAGGACCGTCATACTGCACATTCATGGATGTCAAAGCAACTGCGGTATTGGAGGTTTATACGGACTAGCTCTACCCGTAACATGAGGAGCCTAATGCCGAATGCCAAGAACCAACTTGACGATGTTCAGCGTGCCCAGGATAGCACATTGCTGAGCCCTTTCAATGCGCAGAGTGCCTGGCAATGCCAACACAAAGTGTGACAGGGACACACCAGTCAGTCCACCAAGCGCCCCAACAACCAGGGGCACAACGCGGACATCATCCACATGCCAGATGCGCCGCAGCTCTTGGCAAAGGGGAGCGTACTTTGTTATTTTTTCAGCAATTTTTGTGGGCACATTCTGGTCCAATGGAACACTGACATCCATCAGCAGCACCTGTGTGCTGGACCGCAACACCAGGTCTGGACGGTTGTGGCGCACTTGCGTATCCGTTGGGATTTTGAACTCCCACAGGAGCTTCATGTCAAGATTGTCCGTGACAGGCACAAGATGATGCTTCAGCGGGTTGCTTCCCGGCTGACCCAGACCATGCCGCTTGCATAGTGCCCAATGCACCAACTTGACCAGCGTGTCATGCCGTTCGATGTACAGTGTTATTATTATTATTATTATTTGTCTCTTTCCCTCAAACCAGTTAATTATTATTATTATTATTATTATTATTAGTGGTTGGGTTACAGTGAGGGCTGCGTCCCACCCGCCTCTGTGGATTCACAGGAAGTGTGATTTATGAAGTCTGAAGAAAATGTTGAACAGTCTCTGCTGGGATGACGACTACACCATAGCTCAGTGGTTAGAGCATCGCTAGCTACAAGCGAGGGTCCCTGGTTCGAGTCCTGGTGGTGACAGTCAATTTTTTCTTCAGACTTTTCCCGTTTGTCTCTTTCCCTCAAACTAGTGAAGATTTTATGACTTGGGGCTCCCCGCGTGCTAGAGTGTACGTGAAGTGTGTGGGTTACAGCGAGGGCTGCGTCCCACCCGCCTGTGTGGATTCACAGGAAGTGTGAGTTACGAAGTCTGAAGAAAATGTTGAACAGTCTCTGCTGGGATGACGACTACACCATAGCTCAGTGGTTAGAGCATCGCTAGCTACAA